AACAAGCCAGCAACAGTGTGTTGAAAAGAAACAAGACCATAAAAGGGATTGCCAGCTGAGCCCAGCTACTCAGGAGGCTGAGGCGGGAAGAGCGCTTGAGCATGGAGGTCAAGACTGCAGTGAGCCCCAATCATGCCACTGCATTCCAGCCTGGGCAACAGAGCAAGAACCTGTCTCAAAAAGGTATGGGGTGGGGTAGGGCAGTAGGGATGCACAGGCTAATGCCTATAGTCTCAGCACTCTGGGAAGCCATGACAGGAGGATAAGTTGGAGCCCAGGAGTTTGAGACTAGCCTGGACAACATAGTGAGACCCTGTCTCCATGAAAAGTTTAAAAAAATAAGCTGGGTGTGGTGGTGTACCTGTAGTCCCAGCTGCTCAGAAGGCTGGGGCAGGAGTATTGCTTGAGTCCAGGAGTTTGAGGCTGCAGTGCTCTAGCTGGGGCAACAGAGCAAGACCCCATCTCTTTAAAAAAAAAAAAAAAAAGACTGTCAATGGGTCACTGTTTGCTCACCTCCTGAGACTATAACCAATCAACATAATTCCATCAGTAGACTTAGAACAAAGCTCTCCTTTTAAACTTTTATGTCTGATGAATCAAATTATCCATCAATGAGATCTGTGGCCCTTTATTTTAACTTTGAAAAATGTTTGTCAGGAAAAGCTCTTTGTTGTTAATTTTAATATTTAAGAAATTTGACATGTGAAGAAAACATTGTGTATCTAAACTGGTTTATAGAGGGAACAGAAATGGGTATGCATGTTTGGTATTTATTAGAATTAAAGAAAACCTGGTGAGTGTAGTTAAGTAAACACAGGTTTCCCTGGTTATCCATGTTTAGAAGTCACTTCATCAGGAAAGATGGAATTAGAGGGTTGGAATTACAGGCTTTTGAAGGAAACTGAATACGGATTTATTCTGAGTGATACACAGCCTCAGTAGGGCTTTGATAGAATTTTTTTTTTTAAGACAGTTTCACTCTGTCACCCAGGTTGGAGTGCAGTAGCACGATCTCAACTGACTGCAACCTCCACCTCCTGGGTTCAAGCAATTCTCATGCCTCAGCCTCCCACATAGCTGGGACTACAGGCGCGAACCACCATGCCCAGCTAGTTTATGTATTTTTAGTAAAGACAGGTTTTGCCATGTTGCCCAGGCTGGTCTTGAACTCCTGGCCTCAAGTGATCCACCCGTCTCGGCCTCCCAAAGTGAGCTGGGATTACAGATATGAGCCACCATGACTGGCTGAGATGAAATTTAATAGTTGTCACTGAATGTGCATTTAGCTGCCAGATACTTGATGAACCCTGTCTCTACTAAAAACACAAAAATTTGCCAGGCATGCTGGTGTGTGCCTGTAGTCCCAGCTACTAGGGGGGGCTGAGGCAGGAGAATCACTTGAACCTGGGAGGCAGAGGTCGTAGTGAGCCAAGAATGTACCACTGCACTCCAACTCCAGCCTGGGTAACAGAGCAAGACTTCTCTAAACAAAACAAAGCAAAAAAAGTTACATTCAAATCATACTAACATTCCATTCCCAACCCGTTGGTTGTTGAGCAAATCATGGCATTTATTTGACCCAAGTCTCACCACTGCTCTCTCAATTCCCCTAGTAGAAGTCACCATCCTCTCTGCAGTCCTAGATTACTGTCTCACTGATCTCCCTGCCTTCTCCACTTGTTCTCCCATTAACCGTAGGGCTAGAAAGATTATTTTAAAACATAAATCAGGCCAGGCTCAGTGGCTCATGCCTGTAATCTCAGAACTTTGGCGGGCCAAGGTGGGAGGATCACTTGAGGCTTCAAGAGCTCAAGATTAGCCTGGGCAACATAGTGAGACCTTATCTCTAAAAATTAAAAAAAGGAGTCACATCATGTCACTACTTAGCAACTTAGTCGATGTGAGGCACTGTATTAAACCTCTACATATGTTATCTTGTTCTTAGTAATTTTTCTAAGGCAGTGTTCCCTCATCTTATAAATGAAGTGATGGGTTTTCAGCAAAATCCAAAAAATGTCAGTGCTTTTTTTGTGCAGTACTCTAGGGGGCCTGCAAGAGAAATACCACTGACCATGCTCTCAGGAAATTTACATTGAGGTTAGGTAAACTGGATATTAAGGCTTGAAAGGCTGGACATGGTGGCTCACTCCTGTAATCCCAGCACTTCAGGAGGCCAAGGTAGGTGGATTGCTTGTGCCCAGGAGTTCAAGACCAGCCTGGGCAACATGGCAAGACCCAATCTTTGCAAAAAATAAGCCAGGTGTGGTGGCGTGCCCCTGTAGTTCCAGCTACTTGGGAGACTCACTGGAGCCTGGGAGGTGAGAGTTGCAGTGAGCTGTAATTGTGCCACTGCACTGCAGCCTGGGTGGCAGAGTATGACTCTGTCTCAAAAAATAAAAATAAAATGTGTATATGTATGTATATATATATATACAAATACACACATATACATGAGACTTGCCAAAAAGTAAAATGATGCCACTGTTTTTACTAATTTATTCCTTATTTTGGAAAATAGAGTATTAGTTTTAATAAAGATACTATTTTTGTTAACATGTAATGAATTTCTTTTTAAATGAATTTTTTAAATTCTCAGTTTTAACTTATAAATATTAGCAGACATAACCCACATAAACAAAAACGTAGGGATCCTCAATACTTTTTAGGCATGTAAAGGGGTCTTGAGACAAAACTCTCTGAAAACTGCTGGAGTAGACTTGTTTCCTCTGGGCACTTTCTTCTGGTTCCTTCAGTCACCACATATTTATTATGTCTATCTATGACAGGCACCATTCTAGATTTTGGGGATACAGGTGAATAAGATGGGCAGGCTCTGATATATGGAACTTACATTCTAGTTGGTATGTGTATGATAGAGGAGGAAGAGGAGGAGGGTAGGTGATTTAGTTATGAAGAAACGAACAAGATAATTTCAGATTACATAAAAGCTGTGTAGAAAATTAAACAGGGTCAAGTACCCAGGAGTGGGTATCGAAGTCAAACTGAGGCTGGGAAGATGACTTGATTTGAGCCTGATTGGCAAAGGGAAGCTCCTGCTTTTTCTCTGAACATTTCTGCCCTGGCTCACTCCTCTGGCACTGAGCTTCCTGTGGTTCCTTAAATATGCTAGGCAGGATCCTTCTTCAGGGATCCCTCGGTGTAGAAAGCACTCCTAAATTTTCACGCCAGTCACTACAGTCCGGATATCCTTGGACGGGCCTTCTCCAATCACCTATCTCAAAGAACACCCCTCCATTACTAGCCATCCCCTTACTGGGTTTCATTTTCCTTCCCAGCTTTTCTCTCTACACAATATTGCTATATATTTATGTGTTTGTCTCCCTCCTTCCAGAGATTTGAGGTGATTGCTATAACCCCCAGATCATTAAATAGTGCCTGGGAAATAGAGGGCTCAGTTTAAGTGTGCTGGGTGATAACTAAAATCAGATATGATGAAAAAATGTTACTGGCTTCTGAAGAGAGAACTAAGTGGGCCCGGTGCGGTGGCTCACGCCTGTAATACTAGCACTTTGGAGGCCGAGGCGAATAGAATGCCTGAGCTCAGGAGTCAGAGACCAGCCTGAGAAACATGGCGAAACCCCATCTCTACCAAAATACAAAAAATTAGCCCGGAGCGGCGACCTTCGCCTATAGTCCCAGCTACTCGGAAGGCTGAGGCAGGGGAATCGCTTGAACTAGGAACGCGGAGGTTTGCAGTGAGCCCAGATCGCATCACTGCACTCCAGCCTGACGACACAGCGAGACTCCGTCTCCAAAATAAAAGAAGAAATAAAGAAGCTTTTTTTTTTTTTTGAGAGGAGTTTTGCTCTTGTTGCCCAGGCTGCTGGAGCAATTCTCCTGCCTCAGCCTCCCGAGTGGCTGGGATTACAGGCATGTGCCACCATGCCCGGCTAATTTTGAATTTTTTAGTAGAGAAGGAGTTTCTCCATGTTGGTCAGGCTGATCTCAAACTTCTGACCTCAGATGATCCGCCCGCCTTGGCCTCCCAAAGTGCTGGGATTACAGGCGTGAGCCACCGCGCCTGGCCTAAATAAGCAATTGTTTAAAAGGAGATTATTAAGGGATTAGCAGCCTCGTGCATTGTTTTATGCCTGTATTCCGAACACTTTGGGAAGCCGTAGCGGGAGAATCACTTGAGCTAAGGAGTTGGAGACCAACCTGGACAAAACGGTGAGAACCCCGACTCTTCTAAAACTAAAAACTAATTATCTAACTAAATAAATAATAGCCCGGCATGACAGCACGCACCTGTGGTCGTAGCTACATGGGTGACTCAGGTGGGGGGGCTTGCTTGAGCCCGGGAGTTCGAGTCCCGATCATGCCACTGCACTTCAGCCTGGGCGAGACAAAGCGAGACCCTGAGAGAAAGAAAAAGATCAGCACAGTGACTGTCTCTTTGGTGTAACCATAAATATCTAAAGAGAACAGTGCCGGGCACATTGGGAATCTCAACAAAGTTGTTTCCACTATCCACCTCCGACCAGAATTTAGGAAGAACTTTGCCTGTCTTCCCGCTATAACCAATGACTTAACAAATATTTGTGGAGTGGGTGACCCTCTCGTTTTATCAACGGGTAACAGCCTGCGGAAAGTACAAGTGACTTAGCCAAAGTCTCTGCAGGTATTCGGGGCACAGTCGGGACTGGTGGAGAAGTATATATACCAGCATATATTATATAGTATCCTGACTCTGGTGGTAAGGCTTGCTCTACTGTAGTCGTTAATTCCCCTGTCCACACAACCAGGTCTAATCTGGCCAAAGTTTTCTATTCTTTTTTTCTTTTTTCTTTCTCTTAAGTTTTCTATTCTTAAGCTAAGAAAAAAGGAAAAGACATGTAAACTCTGTTTTGCGATAGACAAGAAGACAGAACAAAAAATTCTGCTTCCGGCGGCGCAACGAAATCCTCCCACCGCCAGGTCCTGTCACGTGACCACGCCTGGCGCGTGACCTTTTGCGCCGAATTCCGCGCAGGCGCAGTGGACCTCTCTTGTGTCATTCCAGACATGGCGGCTCCGCTAGGTGGAATGTTTTCTGGGCAGCCACCTGGGCCCCCACAGCCCCCGCCGGGCCTCCCGGGCCAAGCTTCGCTTCTTCAGGCAGCTCCAGGCGCTCCTAGACCTTCCAACAGTACTTTGGTGGACGAGTTGGAGTCATCTTTCGAGGTAATATAAGACACAGGAATCTTCGTCTCCAGCCTTCCATTTTTCCTGAAACGTGAACCGCGCATGCTCATATCTCTCCAGGCATCTCAGCGGCTAATTTACAGATAGGGAAACCGAGGCTTAAAGAACTTAAGTTACTTGCTTTAGGCTTCACAGTGACCTGTATTCAATTCAGGTCGGCTGCCGGAGGCGCGTAAACTACTTGCTTTAGGCTTCACAGTGACCCGTATTCAATTCAGGTCGGCTGCCGGAGGCGCGTAAACTGCACGTTTCTGGAAACGTGGAGGCAGAAGTTTGCGTAACCTTCAACCTTGGAACCCTTCCAGATTTCCAGCCGGCTGTTGCCGTACCAGCTTGTCCTTGGTCCCATCCCTGAGCCCCGTTTCTTGCATTCCTACATGTTGAATAAGGGGCTCAAGCCTTTTCGGAGCTTAAAGTTTCACTGCTGTGTCCTGTCTCCTTTCCACTGGACTTCACCCTTAAACGATCCTGAAGTAATGGGACTCTTAGAGCGGAAATTGACTTCAGTTACTAGGCATATCCTGGTACTAGCGGCTGAGGAAAGAGCAATGTTGGCGGTTGGGGAGGGAGGGAGGCAAAGATGACCCAATCTCCGAGTTCTGCCCAAAGAGTTTACCTTGCAGCAAGGAAGGTGAACTATGTATCGAGGGACGATGGAGAGGTGAAAATAAATGCTTTGGTGATTTCCAGTGGTCTTTAAAGTGGAAGATGAGCTGCTCGTGTGTAGTAATAAAGTAATATAACTTCAAATTGGAGTTAACTTTTCCACATTTTAAGTCCCAGTTTTGTGACTTTTATACTGTATCTAATAGCACAGTAGTACATGAATATCATTTATAAATGATATTATTCAGGCTGTATGTACCACGGGCTCTACAAAGATTTAGAAATAAGTGATTTAAAGACAGAGAAATCTGCCCTATTTGGGAAGACGAGGAGAAGGAGACACCTTTGTGATGGTGCTAAGTGGTAAAGGAAGGGGATGGTGAGCTTTAGAGCAGAATCTAGCATTGTACTTGAGGTGAGGTGGCTCTCAGTCATGGGCACTTGCAGAAAGACTGGCCCTGTACAAGTCAGCCAGAGTTGACTCCCAGTACCCTGCTGCTTAAAAACTTACAGTGGCTGCTTGTTGCTCTTGAGATAAGATCAAGATGTTTAGTGTGGTATCCCAGGCTTTGCATGTTGAGTTCTCTCCTTCATACTTATTTCCTCTTACTCCAGCCACACAAGGCTTTCCCACATGTACCATTTGTTTTCTCTTTGGGCTTCCAGGCCCCTCCTCAGCTCATTGCATCACTTCCTCAGTGGACCCTTCCCTGGCCTTCTTTTTAATACTTACCGTTAAACCAGGCTCCATGAAGTCAGAGGCTACCTGTTTTGTACCCACACTCTTCACATTTTGTGTCCTGTAGTGCTAATACAGTGGTAGTAGATAGCAACTGCTAGATGAATATTTTTCAGACATTGAAGGAGCCTTTATTGTGGTGCTGAATATTTGTCAGGCATTGAAGGAGGCTTTAGTGTGATTGCCTGTGCACAGAACTCCTTGGCTGATTCACGTATGCGTCTGTAGGTGCCCTTTAGAGAGAACTCCCTCTGGGACTTGATTATCCATACAGAGAATACAGAGAAAACCAGTCCCTGCCTTCAGGAAGCTTGTGATAAACGGCAGGCAGTTGCTTTGCTGTAGGATCAGTGCTCTGTTAGAAGAAACCTAGGGTACCGTGGGAGCACATATGAGCATGTGCATCAAAGAAGGCTTCCTAGAGAGCATGAAAGCCAAAGCAGCATTTTGATCTTGCCAGGTGAAGGGGAGAGGGAGAGGTGCTAGCTGGATCTTCTGCTGCTGGGTGATCACCTGTCTAGTCTTGTCTAAAGATTCAGTTCAAAGGCCACATTTTCATTGGAATTTTTCCTGTTTCCTTCCTTATGTTCTGAGTGAACCTCAATTTTCACAGCCTCCAGTGGCACATGGCAGCACCTGCTTACCTGCTTCTCATTCCTGTTGGGGTGCCACCTCTTGAGGTCTCTGTCTTGCTCATTCAGGCTGCTTAGATGCCACCTCTTAAGGTCTCTGTCTTGTTCATCCTGGCTGCTCAGTACATGCTCTTTGATGGAAGGAGTTTATTGAGCTCATGCACTCTTGATTTTGGAGGGAATGTTGGAGACCATCTAGTCCCGTTTCCTCCATTTAATGGACAGAGAAACTGAGGCTCAGTGAGGGGAACTAACTTGCTCAAAGTGAACCATTGGGTTTGTGGAAATGAGGACTAGCACTTACTTTCCAGGCAAAGGCTCTGTTGTAGCCATGCTTTTAAAAAGTTGTTCTCTTCCTAGGCAGACGCTGTGGCTCACGCCTGTAATCCCAGCACTTTGGGAGGCCAAGGTGGCTGGATCCCTTGAGGTTAGTTCAAGACTAGCCTGGCCAACATGGTGAAACCCCATCTCTAAAAATACAAAAATTAGTGGGCCGTGGTGGCACACACCTAAGGCTGAGGCAGGAGAATTGCTGAAACCTGGGAGGCAGAGGTTGCAGTGATCGAAGATCGTGCCACTGCACTCTAGCCTGGGCAACAGAACAAGACGCCATCTCAAAAAAAATAAAACAACAAAAAATCAAAACGTTTATTTTTTTTCTGGACTGCCACACATTTTCTTCTCAGTACAGCTGTCCAACTGTCTCTAAAAGGCTGTATATCTTTTTTTTTCTTTTTTTCCTTTTTTTTTCTTGAGACAGTCACCCAGGCCAGAGTGTAATGGCATGATCTTGGCTCACCGCAGCCTCCAATTTCTGGGCTCGAGTGGTCCTCCTGCTTCAGCCTTCTAAGTGGCTGGGACTACAGGTGCGTACCACTATGTCTGGTTAATTTTTGTTTTAGTAGAGACAGGGTTTCACCATGCTGCCCATGCTGGTCTTGAACTCCTGGACTCAAGCGATCCACCATGTCAGGCCCCTAATATTTTTCTTAAGGGAATGGAGGGGAGTAAAATTCTTGAGATCAGATTTCCTGCCACCCTGGCTGGTGGGCCTTTTTGGCCAGTTCGTGACTGGTTGGCCTCTTGATGGGATGTTTCCCAGTAGCCATAGGTTTCACAAAAGAGGTACAGCTTATCCACCTCCCAAACCCAAGGGGAGTCAGCTTTCAGAGTAATCCCAAGAATGGGCAATCTGTTTTTCTGCTTTACTTTTTCTGTAAGTCAAGTGTGGGAGTTACAGGCCGGCAGAATTTTTGTTTCTCGAAGGGCCCTCACATGTAGTTAATGCCCTAAATTTGGGCTCAGATCTGCCTGCCTCACACCAAGTGTGTTTGCTAATTGCTGACAGAGCTCTGCTTTCCTGCATTTGAGGCTCCTTTCCAACCCCTGCTCATCCACCTGCCATCCTGTTCTCTTTATGTGCCTCCCTACCCACTTCCTGCAGTGGGCCTGGCATTTCCTTAGAGTTGCTTATGGACAGAACTCCTTGGTTGATTCGCATTTCCATCTGTATAGGTGCCCTTTATAGAGAACTGTCTCTGGGGCTTTTGATTATATCCATATGACACCAACCTTGTCCTCTTAGGCCGTCCAGTCAATCATTAACATGTGTTATTAAACACTTCCCTTGTGCCAAGGCAGTGTTCCTGGCACTAGGAGGACAGTGGTGAATAAGAGGTAAAATTCTCACCTACTAGTAGGGGACAGATAATAATGGATGAAAATAATGGGTATGATGTCAGTTAATTATGTGAAAAACAATAAAGCTGTGCTTGTGGGGTGGAGCATGAGCAGGAGGGTCACCATTTAGAAAAGGTAGACCAGCTGGTCTCTCTGAGGGGGAGAAGATTGACCTGAGTCCTGAATGGGTGGTCATATGAGTTGTGTAAGCATCAGCAATAGGCCACAGTGGGGCTGGAAGAGTGGGCCTGGTGTGGAGTAAGATAAAGGGAAGGGGTATGGGTAGCACAGAGACCAGATGTAATGCCGGCTCATTTGCCTAGCGCTTTCTCCATGGGCCTAATTGGTAAACTCAGTTTACCAGGTGTTTCTGTTGGCATGATGTCTTGCCGTCTCATGTGCAAACACAGATGCTGCCACCTTATCAGATGACTTCAGGAGAAGTTATTTCTTCCTCTGGAATAAGATTTTTGATGTGTGAACGACATTTTTTTCTTTTCTATGTTTTGATTACACAGGCTTGCTTTGCGTCTCTGGTGAGTCAGGACTATGTCAGTGGCACTGATCAGGAAGAAATTCGAACTGGTAAGCATTCCCTCTGTGTACGCAGGTTCTTGGCTTCAGCAAGATTTCCTAGTTGCTAATTTTATATTTCATGTGTTTCAGTCCTGCTTTTATCCTAAGAGAACAGTTCAGGGACTAAAATGTGTGCACATAATCTCTATGAGCTGCTGGCTCTTGGTTCAGCTTTTTAGTTGACATCTTATATCACCGATAATGAACCATTTATAATGAGCTTTTCATATTGGTGCTAGGTAAAGAAGACCAATAGTGTGTACTGCTTTTTAAAAAATTTTTATTATTTTTGGAATAGGTCTTACAGAGAAAAGTCTCTTGTACGTTTTCTTATTCCCCAAGTTCTGTCTCTAGAGGTAACCAGAGCTTCTGATTTCTTTGTACCATATTTTACATGGTTTTTTGTTTTTGTTTTTTTTTTGAGATGGAGTAGCGCTCTGGCACCCAAGCTGGAGTGCCGTGGCGCAATCTCAGCTCACTGCAACCTCCATGTCCTGGGTTCAAGCTGTTCTCTTGCCTCAGCCCCCTGGGTAGCTGGGACTACAGGCGTGTGCTGCCATGCCCCACTAATTTTTTATATTTAATAGAGATGGGGTTTCACCATGTTAGCCAGAAATGTTCTCAATCTCCTGACCTCATGATCCGCCCACCTCGGCCTCCCAAACTGCTGGGATTACAGGCATGAGCCACTATGCCCTTTCTTTTTTCAAAATACATTTTCACTATGCTTGCCCAGGCTGGAGTGCAATGGTGTGACCTCAGCTCACTGCAGCCTCTGCCTAATGGGTTCAGGCGCTTCTCCTGTCTCAGTCTCCCAAGTAGCTGGGACTATAGGCATGCACCACAATGCTCAACTAATTTTGCATTTTTAGTAGAGATGTGTTTTCGCCATGTTGCCCAGCCTGGTCTCAAACTCCTGACCTCAGGTGATCCACCTGTCTCAATCTCCCAAAATGCTGGAATTGTAGGCATGAGCCACCACACCCAGCCTGTCACCCTTTAAGAAAGGAGTGCAGTGGCACGATCTCTGCTCACTGCAGCCTCTGCCTCTTAGGCTCAGGTAATCCTCCCACCTCAGCCTCCCAAGTAGCTGGGGACCACAGTGTAAGCCACCACATGTGGCTATTATTTGTGTTTTTATTTTTTTTTGGAGAGGAGATTTTGCTGTGTTGCCCGGGCTGGTCTTTACTCCTAGGCTCAAGCAATCTGCCTGCCTCAGCCTCCCAAAGTGCTGGGATTACAGGCGTGAACCACTGCACTCGGCCTCTGCATAGTCTTTTTTAAGAAGATCTCATGGCTTTCATGCTATATTAAGGTCTCTCTCTCTTTTTTTTTCTTAACCTGCGAAAAGCATGAATTATCTGCTGTTTAATGTTGGTTAACACATGAGAAGTTGGGGGTTACTATTACCGCTGTGGCTAAGATTAAAATCTCTGAGTCGTCTATGAGAAGGCTTTGTTTTTACATTCTGATTATTTATTTATGACAGAGATAAATGTATATAAGTGTTTTTCTTATATTAATCTTTTTGGTCTTTTTTTTTTTTTAAAGGTGTTGATCAGTGTATCCAGAAGTTTCTAGATATTGCAAGACAGACAGAGTGTTTTTTCTTACAAAAAAGATTGCAGTTATCTGTCCAGAAACCAGAGCAAGTTATCAAAGAGGTATGAACTCAGTTTTCTTCTCAGCTTCTATAGGAAGAACTAAGTGGTGCCAGGATTCCTCTTATGCTTTAGATAAGATGTACTTGTTTCTCACGAGTCTCAGTCAGGCTATTTATAGGTCAGTGTGAAATGTGGCTAGTCTTCAGTGTTTGGGACAACCTGAACAAGAAGTGAAGCCAATGAGTGGGGTTCAAAAAGAGAGTGTCAGGTAGAACAGCTCTGATCTGATTTGTGGCATACATTGGCCTTCAGGAAAGATTTTTCTTAAAAGATTCTGCCATGTGAAACACATTAAAAACACCCATTAATATGTACAGACTCATTTTGGACAGAAACTGAGATCTGTGTCCCCAGTTGCCTTATCCATTGCCTTGCACACAGGAATCCAAGGAATCAAAAAGTAGTGTTCCGACTCAGGGTCTTTGAAACTCAGGATTTCACTGATCTCAGTTGTTCTAAGCTAGGGCGTTTGGAAGTGTATTGGGGTTCCACGATGACTTGGGAAGCTTTAATGGCATTGAATGGGTTGGGCCAGGACCTGCCCCAGGCAGTGTGGAAGAGTGAAGAACCGTCTTGCCCAAAAAGCCGCGATGCCCTCAGTGGAAAACACTGAATTGAGATTATTGGGAGCAGTTTTTGAAGTAACTAGTTCCAATTAATCAAAGTCTCTTTCCATTCATGATACCAGGTGTTGGGGATAGATAGCTATTCTCATAGTTTATCATGTCGGATCATTTCCTGATGTGAATACGTGAATAATAGTGCAGGTATGTCCAAGACTGGGTCTTTGGTAAAGGATTTAACGCTGTTGTTCACAAAAAGCTCTTGAAAAATATAATTTTAACAGTTCATAATCTGAAGTGATAGAGTGGTGTGGATTTTTTTGTACACAGTTGTTAACAACTGTTTTAGGTTCTCAGCAGTAACCTTTGGAGAGAGGTACTGGGTGGCTGGAGACTAGGATGGGTAGAGCCTGCGTGTTGGTTCATTTTCACACTGCTGGTAAAGACATACCCGAGACTGGGCGATTCACAAAATAAAAAAGGTTTAATGGACTCAACAGTTCCACATGGCTGGGGAGGCCTCACAATCATGGCAGAAGGTTAAAGACACATCTCACATGGCGGCAGACAAAAGAAGAGGGCTTACACAGGGAAATGCCTATTTTTAAAACCATCGGATCTTGTGATACCTACTCACTACCAGGAGAACAGCGTGAGAAAGACCTGCCCACATGATTCAGTTACCTCCCACCAGACTCCTCCTGTGACACATGGGAACTGTAGCAGTTACAACTTAGGATCAGATTGGGTGGGGACACAGCCAAACCATATCAGTCTGATTTTTTTTTTGGCTGCCCTTTGGTACCTTTTGAATTTTGTAACTTGCGTATTACTTTCTATAAGAAAAATAAACATAGGCTGGGCATGGTGGCTCATATCTATAATCCCAGCACTTCAGGAGGCCAAGGTGGGTGGATGACTTGACGTCAAGAGTTTAAGATTAGCGTGACCAACATGGCAAAACCCCATCTCTACTAAAAATACAAAAATTAGCCAGGCATGGTGGCATGTTCCTGTGATCCCAGCTACGTAGGAGGCTGAGGCAGGAGAATCACTTGAACCCTGGAGGTGGACATTGCAGTGAGCCCAGATGGTGCCACTGCACTTCAGCCTGGGTGACAGAGTGAGACTTTGTCTAAAAAAAAACCCCAAAACAAAACATAAAAACTTACGTTAGAATCTATGATTTGGGTTATTCAAACAGTGGAGTCAAGCAGAGTAATGGACTTAATATGGTTTAATGGATTATTTTTGTTTTGAATTCCTAGCCTCTTAACCAGAACCATGTATGTTTTTTTTTTTTTTTTTTTTTTTTTTGAGACGGAGTTTCGCTCTTGTTACCCAGGCTGGAGTGCAATGGTGCGATCTCGGCTCACCGCAACCTCCGCCTCCTGGGTTCAGGCAATTCTCCTGCCTCAGCCTCCTGCGTAGCTGAGATTACAGGCACACGCCACCATGCCCAGCTAATTTGTTTTGTATTTTTAGTAGAGACGGGGTTTCACCATGTTGAGCAGGATGGTCTCGATCTCTCAACCTCGTGATCCACCCGCCTCGGCCTCCCAAAGTGCTGGGATTACAGGCTTGAGCCACCGCGCCTGGCCGCCATGTATGTTTTACCTGAGTTTGCTCTGACTTATTCTCACTTTTATCTGCAGGATGTTTCAGAACTAAGGAATGAATTACAGCGGAAAGATGCACTAGTCCAGAAGCACTTGACAAAGCTGAGGCACTGGCAGCAGGTGCTGGAGGACATCAATGTGCAGCACAAAAAGCCAGCCGACATCCCTCAGGGCTCCTTGGCCTACCTGGAGCAGGCATCTGCCAACATCCCTGCACCTCTGAAGCCAACCTGAGCAAAGGGCAAAGGCAGTCAGACTGTGAGTGGTCTGGTGCGTGAGGTTGACCACACATCTTTTCCTGTGGACTTGACATTTTGGAAGAATTCTTTGCCAGATTATGAGTTCATTTTAGTTTTATGCTCCCATCGAAAAATTTTCCACTATTTTTATAAGCTGTTACTTTCTTGAGTACTTTAAGGGTCTGTAGCTTGGATAAATCAAGTAAATTTTTTTTTGTCTTTAGCAAAGTTTTGACTGTGAGTGTGATGACACAGCTTCTTTTTTATGGTGGTTTTGCTTGTTTTTAAACTTTTGTGTGACTTTTCATCTTTTTTTCATCTTTTTTTTTTTTTTTTTTTTTTTTTGAGACGGAGTTTCGCTCTTGTTACCCAGGCTGGAGTGCAATGGCGCGATCTCGGCTCAGCGCAACCTCCGCCTCCTGGGTTCAGGCAATTCTCCTGCCTCAGCTTCCTGAGTAGCTGGGATTACAGGCACATGCCACCATGCCCAGATAATTTTTTGTATTTCTAGTAGAGACGGGGTTTCACCATGTCGACCAGGATGGTCTCGAACTCTCGACCTCATGATCCACCCACCTCGGCCTCCCAAAGTGCTGGGATTACAGGCTTGAGCCACCGTGACCGGCCCCTTTTTTTCATCTTTTTATGTGTGCTTCCTGTAGTTTGATCTGAAGGAAAAAAGCATAATAGCCTGAGAATTAGGAGAAGGGGATTTTAGTTGTAGGCCTTATGATAGTTACCCTCAGTGATGAGTAGAAAAGTATGTAAATTTGTTCTGTTTTAAGACTTTGAACTACCTCAAGAAGAGGAACCTAACACAATATTTGTAATGTTTCCAGAGCTCTCAGGCTGAGGATTTTTTTGTAAACAGGTCAGAAGAAGATTGAACTATCTTGGGTTAGTGTAGTAATCTTACAGTAGGATCCTTAGGTTGATGCTGACCTCTGTTTGGGGTATGTTTATATTTTATGTTGTGTTTACTTTTTCTTTGATAAGGAGGGATGTAGTGGGAACAGTGATACACTAACGTTTATTACATTTTGCAGTAATGAATCCGTTTAATGGGGCAGACATTGTTTTCAGTAGTCTGACAGTGGGGCTATAGGTGAGCTATGAGGGGCTAAAGCTTGCTGTGATTGTCTATTTCTGTTTTGAGTTTTCTTTGCATGTATCATTTTTGTTTTACATTTTGGGAGGGGAAACATTTTCCATTAAGGAAGGTTGTTGCTGGTGGATTTGACTCCAAGGAACTAGAGTGTCATGGTGAGGGTGGAGGGGATGCAGGGTGATCATTGGCTACTGAGCCTCCACAAAGAGCATGTGGCGCCTCTGCCTGTGGAAGGATATTTTGCTCTCTTGTTAGTTTTGCAGGCAACCTTGGATTCGCTGTTGAGTTGCTGTTAAGAAATGGAGACCAGCGTTGTTTCTGCCTCTCGTTGGTTAGGTTTTCTGAGTTTTATAGTCTCTTATTAGATCTTATTAGATCACATCTCTTTACCCAGAACAAACGCTTCCCTATCTTCTGACTAGCAGTACTCCTGTGGCTCTGCACCTTGCCTCATTTTATTTTCTTCAGCCTTGAAGGCCCCTTCCCACATGCACTGACATCCTGTGGTGTGCCTGGTCCCTGAAGCCTCCTAGCACCTGTTCTGTTGCATCCCCAAGGCGTGGGACTTTGATCTCTTCTGCTGCCCTTGCTAGGTTCTCCCTGGTGGGTTAGAGCTTTGTATCAGTCTCTCTGCCCCTCACAATCGCAATTGTGGATTTTTACCTACTCTAATTCAATGATGCTAATGAGAATTAGACATGATTCCCCTTACATATATAGGGACCATATAGTCTTTTATCTTTTTGTTGTGTGTATATATGGTATCTGGCAAATGGATCTGTGATTACCAGCCTGACACCAACAAATCCCCTCAGTTAGGATGTATAGATTAAACAAAGTTTTGAAAAGCTCATATGCTACGACCTCAAGGTTGTTAACCTGATCATCTCATGGTAATTAGAAACTCTGATTGGCAGCTTTATATTTCTTGATTAAAAACCTAAATAAACTGATTATGTTTTAGGTATTCTTTTAAAGAGGTTCTTGATTAAAAGATTGAGAACTATCCTGTTTGGTGCTTAGTGAAAAGAGTTTGAATTACTGTATGTAACAATTATTACCATTTCTTTATTAAATTCAGAAGCTTTTTTGCCAAATAAATAACAATTTTTCAATCTTGTCTGTTGGTAAACATCTTGTTGGGTGATGAATAACCCTCTAAGAAACCCTCTGAGCTGCTGACTTTTTCAGGAAGAAAATCACATGCCATCCTCTGAAGTTCCCCTCTCAACTACTGTAAATGCCCTTGGCCGAGTCACTGCCCTGGTACTGGGGAGTGGAGTATTATGTCTTGGAAGAAAGACTCCTCTCATTGTCCAGGGGTGAGTTCTGGTCTGGCGTGATATTTGACCTTAGGTCTGCCCATAGGCTTCAGGCTTTCAACTTCCAGACATCTGTGCCACACACATTATGTGAATGATCTCACTGAATCTTCTAGAAGGCTTATAACAGAATCAATATTGTTGTTCCCATTTTCACAGATAGATAATAAATCTGTAAAATAGAGATAAGACTAAGTCCTATCCCCTAGGATTATTTTTGCAGACTAAAGGAGATGTTGAATGGGAAGTCGGTAGCAAGGGTGCCAGAATGTGTAGCAAGTGCTCTTCGGGTGTTGGTGATTTCTGTGGGTCCAGGAAGAGGAGGATTATGGACAAAGAATATGGGATTTAGGAAGTTTAAGTGGTTCGCCCACAGTTGAGAGCCTAGTCTTTAATCCTTGGCAGAAGCAGGATTTGATGTAGGTTTTCACACCTCTCTTCTCTGGTCAATGTGTTGATAACAGCCTACCTACCTAGGGTTCCAGGGTGTTCTTAAGAAGCCAAGGTTGTCTTGGGTGTGGTAGCTCTTTGAAAGGTAGAAAGTTCCACCAGAAGGCCTTTCTCCTCAAATACTACTTAGTTTCCTTGTCAGGCTCCCAGATGCAGATTGCCTGTGGGCTGTCACTCTCCACAGGTAAAGCTGCCCACATCTTCAGGACAGGCTTTTTTTTTTTTTTTTTTTGAGGCGGAGTCTTGCTGTGTCACCCAGTTTGTAGTGCATTGGCACGACGGGGTCCCACAGGCAGGCTCTGGGCAAAGGCCTGCCCGGCCATCAGGTAGTCTGTGTGTTTTACAAACAGCAGCTGAATGTGCTGCTTCCTGCTAGACATTCCTACCATTGACATCAAAACTGGTGGGTGACCTTTTCAGCCATTTGACATTTCCCTCAGAAGAACCTTGCCTCCTGGCAGTTCAAGCAATTCTCCTGTCTCAGCCTCCCAAGTAGCTGGGCTAATTTTTGTATTTTTAATGGAGACGCAGTTTCACCATGTTGGCCAAGTTGGTTTTGAACTCCTGACCTCAAGTGATCTGCCCACCTCAGCCTCCCAAAGGGCTGGGATATACAGGCATGAGCCACGGTGCCTAGCTCATCTTCATCTTCTTTACTTGAATAGAATTCTTTTTCATGTATCTTCCCTCTTTTGCTGTTTCCTCCTCTACCCAATGTCTTGACTGTTGACATTCCCAAGTGTTTGGTTCTGGACCTCTGGAGGCTGTGAAGGAGCGCTGCTCAGTCCTCTCTTCAAGAAAGCAGCTTCAAGGAGTTCAATTACACAAGCTCCTGCCATTGGGGGCCTGTTGCCGTGTTCCCACCCAGGCCATGATGGTTGTCACCAAACTCAGTGGAGGTGCAGATGCTAGACCATTTCTGCCCCACACAGGACTCCTCTAATGAGCAGTCTGAGGCCAGGCATGGTGGCTCATGCCTGTAATCCCAGCACTTTGGGAGGCTGAAGGCAGGCTGATCACTTTGAGGTTAGGAGTTTGAAACCAGCCTGACCAACATGGCGAAAACCTATCTCTACTAAAAATACAAAAATTAGCCAGACGTGGTGGCAGGTGCCTATAATCCCAGCTACTCAGGAAACTGAGGCAGGAGAATCACTTAAACCCAGGAGGTGGAGGTTGCAGTGACCTGAGATCAAGCCATTGCACTCCAGCCTGGACAACAGAGCGAGACTCTGTCTCAGAAACAATAAAAAAATACTGAGCAGTCTGCTTGGGCACTCTCAGCCTGGCCACATCTTCGGAGCTGTCTTGCCATCCTGCCTTCTTTTACCCCAGTGTTCCTTGGCCCACCAGCAAACCTACATCATAGGCTCTTCTTGTCTTCTGTTTCCTCCTCTCCCCTTTCTCTAACATAGGTGTTTCTCCTGAGAAGGAGAAAAAACTACCTGTCCCTGACATTCAGAAGCTGACAACACTGTTCAGTCATGTTATTTTATTGGACTAAACAGTCTCTGACTACCACCAACTCCAAAGGTGCTCTCAGGCCATGAAAATAAATCACTTCATAATTTTGTCTAAGCACATAAAAGAAAAAATTCAAGGTCTGTTTACCACTCACAAAAGACCAAACATCCTTCTAACAGCTTGCTCGCTTCGACAGCAGATATACTAAAATTGGAACAATACAGAGAAGATTAGCACAGCCTCTGCACAAGGATAACACGCAAATTCGTGAAGCGTTCCATATTTTTCAAATAATGCCTTTTTAATTGTATCCTGTAATATAGATACAGGACAGTACTGTATCATACCTCTGTGAATGTAACATATCTTGTACCTGCTTTATGATACGTAGTAGTGACTGTGCTTTATCAGAGCTGTTTTTAATGATGTTACTCTAGAATGTTTTCTTTCCCGATGATGATTCAGAAGCTAGTTTTTAAAAATGGTGCCAGGTACCACAACAGTAACAGAGCTTTGCAGTTTTTGGGGTTTTGTTTTTTACCTTTTTTTCCCCTTTTTTTTTTTTAAATGGGATGTGCTAGATGTCTCTCTAATTTTGTTCAGATGACTGCAGAACCTGGAAAAGCTGTTACTGTGGTTGATGCATAACATACTGCTATTATTGGTCTTTTTATGCAAGTATATATATACATACATATATATATAATTTGAGTTTTTGGAAACTTTAGCTGTACTGTCAACTTTGGAAAAAGTATCCCAGTTTACTGTGTTGAGTTGGCATTGTACAGAAATTAACAGCCATATTGGTCTAGAAACGTTAAACTTAATTTTTTTCCATTTATACGGGGGTAACACACTGTATTAAATATGTAAGGTCTTATCTACATGGGTTTGATTACAGAAACTAATATTCTCTAAAAAAGAAAAAAGAACAGCTGCTAATAAAAAAAAAGAAAAAAAGGG